CGAGGGCTGGAAGTCGATGAGCAGCACGCGGGCGAAGAGCGTGAGGAAGAGCAGGTAGCTGACCACGTTGCCCAGGAAGGCTGTCACCGGCGCCCCCCAGAACTGGGACCAGCGCCGCAGGTGTGGGGAGCACCCCCTCCGGCTGGGCTGGCTCAACACCCCCAGGGGCAACTTCTCAGGGGGATCTGCTGGCCTGGCGGGGTGGGGGGGGAGAGAGAAGGGAGGGCTCAGCCTGACCTCTGAACCCGACCTTCACCGTCAAGACCGCTAACCTGTCACGTGACCTCCTGCACCTTCAGGACTTCTGACCCTGCCGAACTGACACTAAGTCCGTGGTCGGCCTGCCATCTCCTTGACTTGTGACCTCTGACCTCTGAAAGCCCCTACCATCAAGACTGCTGACCTTTCACCTCTTACCGCCACCCTTCTGGCCCCTGGCCCCTGGGGTGGCTCCTGACTCTTGTCTGAAGTCCAAGTACGCCGAAACCGGTTTGGCTCAGTGGATAGAGCATCGGCCTGCGGACTGAAGGGTCCCGGGTTCGATTCCGGTCAAGGGCATGTACCTGGGTTGCGGGCACTTCCCCAGTGGGGGGTGTGCAGGAGGCAGCTGATCGATGTTTCTAACTCTCTATCCCTCTCCCTTCCTCTCTGTAAAAAATCAATGATATATTTTTAAAAAAATAAAATAAAATAAAAATAAAAATAAAATCCAAATCCCCCTTCTTTCACCATCACGATCTCTGACTTGCTCTGTCTGACCTTGGGCCCTCAGATATGACCTCTGATCCCCTCATGTTTATGACCTCGGCTCCCCAAGTTTGAAAACTCAGTCCCTGGCTACTAACCTCTGACCCACAGATTCTGAGATTAGACTACGCAGGCGGGTTTTCTCACATAAGTCTTCCGCCCCCATATCTGATATCCGACCATCCTGCGCTATTTGGCTCCTGAATTCCAGCTTTCTCGGGCCACTCATATCTCTGACCCTTCTCTCCTGAGTTCTGGTCCTCTATCTCAATTTCATCCTGACTCTTAATTCTGACCCAAAGGGAAATGCCCAAATGAGTAATACTAATAATAATAATATGTTCAGCCTGGCCGGTGTGGCTTAGTGGTTAAGCATCAACCTATGAACCAAGAGGTCACAGTTCGATTCCTGGTCAGGGCACAGGCCCTGGTTGTGGGCTTCATCCCCAGTAGGGGGCGTGCAGGAGGCAGCTGATCAATGATTCTCTCTCATCATTGATGTTTCTCTATCTCTCCCTCTCCTTTCCTCTCTTCGAAATCAACATTTTAAAAAAGAATAATGCCAATATTTTCAACCTGAGCACCTGGAAGGATGCAGATGAACTTGACTGAGAAGAGGAAGGCTCTGGAGGATCAGGTTGGGAAGTGAGGAGGAAAAAAAAACTTGGTTGTGACCCTGTGGTTGGGGAAAGGGCCTGAGCCGGGCCTCTAGTATAAAAATAATATATTCAAAAAGCTTGCAGGAAAAACGAACGGGTTTGGAGAAGCACTTTCTCTTTATAAACCAAGCAGAAAATAATAATCCCAAATGTTCACCAGCTGACGAATGGATAAATAAATGTGCTCTATCCGTTGAATTGTATAACACTGCAACTGTATTCCACGGATGAACGGAATGGTACGTGAATTGTGTCTCAGTAAAGCTGTTCCAAAGAGATTAGGCGGAAAGAACAGTCCACGCTAAAGACAGTGAGAGGCAGAGAGGGGCACGGGTTCCCTGATGACCAGGGAAACGGCCCGGTGTTTCCATTTCACCCTCTGCAGGGTCCTGGTCCGGAAGGTACGCGGTGCGTCAGCGTGCTTCCCAAAGACTGCCACCTCTGACCACCCAGAGCCAGGCCCCACGCGGCTTCCTGGGCCCATCGCAAGGCCCCTGGGAGAGGAGCCAGGGGCCGTCCTTTTACAGAGCTCTCCAGGAAGGTGGCGCCCCACAGTGGCTAAGAGCACAGATTCCGGCACAAGCAGATCTGGGTTCAAATCCCAGCTCTACCACTTACCAGCCACGCGATCTGGGTCACAGAAATTAAGGCCTCAGTGACTCCATGGGCAACTGAGATCGGTAACAGACCTGACTACATAGGGCAGTTGAGGAAATTAAGCTGATTCCCAAAGGACGTGGTTCAATGGCTGCCCATCGTAAGTGTTCTGTCACATCCGCTCTTGTCATTGGCATCATCACCATCAGAAGGTACAGAAGTTGGGGCACCACTTCTGACCCTGACAAGGCGAGGACACCACTCCTGACCCTGACCCTGACCCTGACCCTGGGGCCTTCTCTCCTGCTTCTGGAGTAGTCCAACATTTTCTCTTAGTTTTCTATCTTGGCGAATATTTTGTATTTTTTGTGCATCGTCCCGGAAACACCCCCACACACATATGTTTACATTTGACTTGTTGTCTAAGGGAGGTAGTGGGTTTCGTAGACTCCTGGCGGTCTGATTGTGTTCCTAACAGCCCCCAAAACATTTCTACTTCCGGGAGACTGGGGGCCAAGGCCCCCCCTTTCCCCATTTATGTGGCTAACGTACAAATAGAGGCTGCAAAGATGGGTATACATGTGGGCCTCTGTTTCCCTGTGACCATAGATTTAGTCTCTTATATCCCTCCACACACATACCATTTATCAGCATTGGGAAACTGCCTCCGTATCTTCAGTGGCTGCGTGAAACCAGCACCTCCAGAAGCTCCCCTTCTCTGCTCTGGCCTTGCTCCCCGTACCCAGAGCTCCCGCGGCTGCCCAGGCCGCCCCACCGCGTGTGGGCTGGTGCTGCGCTCACCTGACAGGCCCTTCCCCATTGAGGCTCCCGTCCATGTCAAACCCCAGGTCCTTCTGTGTGGAATCCTCCGCTGACTTCCTGGCATGGAGAGAGGCACGGAGTGAGAATGGGGGAGGGGAGAGTGGGAGAGGAATTCCCCAGAGACACCCAGCTTCTTTACCCAGAGACATGGCAGGGAGACGGAGGTGCCCCGCTAGATTCACCCTAAAGGGAACCATCCCAGAGCCATGCCTGCCGGCAGAAGAATTGCCCAGAGAGATACAGAGCCCCCCAAAAGCTCACCTCCCAGAACGTGCCCCCGT